ACTATGCATATATGCATATAAATTCTTTGGTTAATCTCTTCATGGCCCCCCCTTCCCTCTGAAATATGTCAGTCTGTGGTATGCTTCAGTGTCTCTGGATCTATTTTGTTCATCAGTTTATTTTGTTCATTAGATTCCATATACAAGTGAGATCATGTGAGATCTTTATTTATTAATTTATCTTTATTGTTGAAAGCATTACAGATGTCCACTTTTTCCCCCCCATTGATATCCTCCACCCAGCATCTGCCCCCACATACCCCCCAGGCCTTCTCTGCACTATTGTCTGTGTCCATGGGTTATGCATATATGCATATAAGTTCTTTGATCAGTCTCTTCCCCCTCCCCCACCCCTTGCCTTCCATCTGAGATTCGTCAGTCTGTCCCATGCTTCTATGTCTCTGGATCTGTTTTGTTCATCAGTTTATTTTGTTCATTATATTTCACATATGAGTGAGATCATGTGATATTTGTCTTTATCTGACTGGCTTATTCCACTTAGCATAATACTCTCCAGTTCCATCCATGCTGTCCCAAAGGGTAAGAGATCCTTCTTTTTTATAGCTGCCTAGTATTCCATGGTGTAAATGTGCCACAGCTTATTTTTCCACTCATCTACTGATGGGCACTTGGGCTGTTTCCAGATCTTAGCTATTGTAAATTGAGCTGCTATGAACATAGGGATACAGAAATTTTTTCTGATTGGTATTTTGGGTTTCTTAGGATATATTCCTAGAAGTGGGATCATTATTTAAATCAATGAAATATAAAAGTCCAGAAATAGACCAACACATATATGGCTAATTGATTTTAACAAAGGTACAAAGGCAATTCAATGAAGAAAAAATAGCCAATTGTTGGCTCTCCATATGCAATGATTGAATATCCATATGCAAAAAAAAATGAACCTCAATTCATACTTTATACCCTTTGTGAAAATTAACTCAAAGTAGATCACAGGCCTAAATATAAAACCTAGAACTATGAAAATGTTAGAGGGAAACTTCAGAGAAAAATATCTTCATGACTTGGGTTAGGCAAAGATTACTTAGATGTGATACCAAAAACATGTCCATTAAAGAAAAAAAATAGAAATTTAACTCTGTCAAAATTAAGAATTTTTGCTCTTTGAAAGACACCGTTAAGAGAATGAAAAGACAAGCAATACACTGGAAGAAAATATTTGCAAGTCCCATATCTGATGAAGTGCTGTATTCAGAATCTATAAAGAACTCATAAGACTTAACAGTAAAAAACAAGCAACCTAGTGAAAAATGGGCAAAACAGACATTTTACCACAGAATATATAGTATGGCAAAAAAGCACGTAAAAAGATGCTCAACATCTTTAGTCATTAGGGAAATGCAAATAAAAACCACAGCACATTCATTAGAATGCCTAAAAGCAATACAACTTGACAATACCAAGAGCTGGCCAAGATGTGGAAAAACTGGAACGCTCATGCATTTACTGGTGAGAATGCAATGTACAGCCAGTTTGGAAAACAGTTGGACAGTTCTTTATGAAGTCAAATATATACTTTGCAAATAACCCAGCAATTTCACTACTATGTACCCTAGAGGAGAAAAAAAATGTGTTCACATAAAAACTTATACACAGTTCTTTAGCTTTATTAATAATTACCAAAAATGGGAAAGAGCCCAAATGTCCTTCAGTTGGTGAATGGATAAACAACTGTGGTACATCTATATCCTGGAATACTATTTAGCAATATAAAGGGAGGGGCCCCTACCAATACACACAACAATATGGAGGAATCTCAAATGCATTATGTTAAGTGAAAGAAGCCAGGCTTAAATGTAGGAGTCCTTTTATATGAACTTCTGGAAAAGCCAAAAGTAAAGGAACTAAAAACAGATCAGTGGCTGCTAGAGGGTGGGATAAAAGGAAACTACAAAGGGGTACAGAGGAATTTGTTGAGGTAATAGAACTAGCTTATATTTTGATTGTGGTGGCATGATCAAATGTTAGTCCCCTTTTAGGATGACTTTATTCTTTTACATTTTTAAGTCTAAATAATTTTATTTTAAATTTCAATTATGTAATGCAGTGTTATCAACTGTAGTAACCATGTTTTACATTAGATCCTCAGACCTTATAGCTGAAAGTTTTTATCCTTTTACCAACTTCTCCCTATTTCTTACACACTTAGCCCCTGGCAACCACTTTTCTATTCCCTGTTTATATCAGTTTGACTTTTTTTCAGATTCTAATTAAGTCTAAATCATTTTAAATTGCTTAATAAAACATAGTCACTTAGTGATATGATATTCCTCCTTCTATACGAATTTATGCAGTTTAAATGCATGTATGTTCTGAATTTGCTCTGTAGTTTAATGTATTGTTTCTTATCCATTAGAGTAACAATAACTATTTGCTCATAGGAAATTGGTCCTGATGGAGATAGTTGTGCTGTGTGTATTGAACTGTATAAACCAAATGACTTAGTACGCATCTTAACCTGCAAGTAAGTTTGATTTTCATTTATATCATCAGTAAGAATAGCTGATCTACAAAAATTACTGTAATGGGGGAAACTACTTTGAATGTCTCCAAATTGATGTAAATAAAGTATTTATTTTGTTATTTTCATTTAAATGTAGGAGAATGCTTTATTTTTAATATCAAAATTGGTATAAGGCTAATTATATAGTTTCCAGAATTTGGTGAAACTTGGAAACTAGTTCCATATAAAACTGAGAACCTAGTCAGCACCACAATTATATCTATATACTGGATTATATAAATTCATTCTAACAGTCCTATTAAGGAAAAAACATAAAATCAACTTATTGTCACCTGTTTGGAAGAATTCATTCTTGGGGTTTTTATTATCCCTCTCCTGAAAGTTGTTCTTAACACTCTTTCTTTTAGCTAGTAAAAAGTGGTGCTCTAGGAATGTATCACATTGACTAAAGAATCAGTACTATGTTGTACTCAATACTATATTGTACTGTATTATTGGGAATGACCAGCTGTACCATTTTACAGTTAGGGAATGACAAGATAATTAAGATCTGAAATACTGAACAAAGTCTTAGGACAGCAGCGTCTTAGCCATTTTTCAAGTAATGAGTACTAAAACTATTATGTCTTTTGATGTTAGAGTAATAAGGCTTTTATATTACAAAATACTATATTATGAAATTTCCAAATTTTGCTTCTGTGGCTCCTTCTCAGTATTTTTGCTATAATACAGCTATTTTCAATCCGTGTGCTGCAAGAATTTTTAAAACATGCAATACTTGATTCAGTCAGAGGCACTGACCTCTTTTCCCTTAGACTGTTGAATAAAAAAAAGGCAACAGTCAACACAATAGCCATCTGGTATGAATGAATCAAAATTACTAATTTTTTGTGAGATTGGCAAAAAATATATATTTTTTGGTGTGCCACAGAATTTTAGTAATTAGTTTATGCGTGCCATGAGATGAAAAAGGTTGAAAATTGCTGCTTTAATAGTGTGTTTAAAAGTAAAAAAAGCATCTGTTAAAAGACTAAGTGAAATTACAGGGTAACCTGTCAGTATATTAGGTAAAGTGTTGTTGCTATTTCACAACTGATAAATTATTTGTTTTTTTCCTTCATTAGCCATATTTTCCATAAGACATGTGTCGATCCATGGCTGTTAGAACATAGGACTTGTCCCATGTGCAAATGTGATATACTCAAAGCTTTGGGAATTGAGGTAAACATTCCTAAACTATTTATATGAAGGAACTCAAGCAATGTATTGTTTATGTATCTGGGCCTTCAGGAGAATAACATCCTTATTTTTTAGCTATGTAGTGTGCTAGACTTACAATGTATACCAAAAGTTGGACCTATTTATATCATAGTGACAGTACGGTGCCATGTTGGACCACCTCCATTTTCTGTCTCCCCCCCTTTCTTCAAATGTACTTATTTTTTGGTCAGAATTTGAAGCAATGACCTTATAAACTACCAATTGGCTTCTGATACCCCTTTCTCATTTTTACTGTCTTACTATTCCGTAGCAACCAAACTTGTAGTTAAATGAGCATGTATAGTTTTAGAAAGTAATAAATTATAACTATATTTGGTAAATGGAAAAAAAACCCACAAACTACCTCTTCCACAGTAAACACAGCAGAAAGTCAAGCTCAACCAAATCTTCCTGATTTGAAGAGATATATAGATACCCAGTAGGTGATGTGCAGGTGGCAGCCGATCCATGTTTCTCCCTTATCATTGATGTTTCTATCTCTCTATCCTTCTCCCTTCCTCTCTCTCTAAAATCAATAAAAACATATATTTTCAAAAAAGAATACAGTAATTCTCAGTTCCCCCAGGAACAGCATGGGATTTTTTTTTATTGCCTACCTTGTACCTGGCATTGTATTATAAAGTACTAGGATCACTCAGATGAATATGTCAGGTGTGATGACAATCTGCTTATAACACCCTTTGCCCACTGATGGACCCAGTTACTCCAACTGCTCTGGCTGGGACCAGCAAGAGATTTTTGTGATTATTAAAAGGAACTATAGGTTTAAAAGGCTAAAAGCATTGCTGTAATAAGTCACCTAAGAATAAACTTTCTATGATATGTCAAAGAAAAGCATGTACTCTGAGAGTCTTTTAATTTGTTCAAATGCTTTCCAAAGGTGGATATTGAAGATGGATCAGTATCTTTACAAGTCCCTGTATCCAATGAAACATCTAATAGTGCCTCTCCTCATGAAGAGGATAATCGCAGTGAGACTGCATCATCTGGATATGCTTCAGTTCAGGGAGCAGATGAACCACCTTTGGAGGAACATGTGCAGTCAGCAAGTAAGCACCATGCTGAGGGTCAAGAGCCCCACAAATGATACATTGTGGTTTCTTAGCATTTGTTCCATTCGTCTGTTAATACATTTCAGATTTTTTTCTATGAACAACAATGAAATGCAGGATGCACCCCTACCCTAGCTTAATATACATATATTCGAATGTACCTGAAACAGATGAAATACATCAGGAGTGGGAATTATTCACATAAGAAAAGGATTTATGGGAAAACTTTCTGATGCATTTAACTGTTGGCTTGTTAATTTACAGAGGCTAAGGGAAAACTTTAAACTTTAGAAGCCATTGTTTATTGCAGACCAATCAGCAATTAAGAAAGGAGTTCTGAAATGATAAAAACAGAATTCAGTTTACAACAGCTTGATTTGTACACAACTTCTCAGGAACCCATCTTTTGCAGATTGAAACTTTGCTTAAGAACAGTATGTGCTGCCACCTGTTGATTATTTACAATGAAATGTACAAACCTTGGAAACTGAAATTGAATACAATAGTGCCCCTTATCTGCAGTTTTGCTTCCATGGTTTCAGTTGCCTACAGTCAACCACAGTCTGAAAATATTAAATGGAAAATTCCAGAAATAAATGATTCATAAGTTTTACACTGTGTGCCATTCTGAGTAGTGTGATGAACTCTCACACTGTATAAGCTCCCTGCTCCCTGTCACTTAGTAGCCATGATGGTTATCAGGTGTACTGTCCCTGTATGGCAGTGCTTATGTTCAACTAATCCTTATAATAGCCTAATGCTATGTCACAATATCTATGTCATTCACCTCACTTCATCTGATCACATAGGCATTGTATCATCTCACATCATTGCAAAAAGAAGGGTGAGTATAGTACAATAAGATATTTTGAGAGAACACATTCACATAACTTTTATTATAGTGTATTGTTATAATTGTTCTATTTTATTCTTAATTTTTTAATCTTTTACTGTGCCTAATTTGTAAATTAAACTTGATCATATGTACGTATGCATAGGAAAAAACATAGTGTATGTAGAATTCAGTACTATCCCCAGTTTCAGGCATCCACTGGGAAGTCTTGGAATGTATCCCCGGCAAATAAGGGGGGATAACTGTATATTATTTTAAAAATTCATGTGAATCAGTATTGCAGCTTAGTAATATCATAGTAGGAAAGACATTTTAGGGAATTTTGTTACTTTTTCCCTTTGAAAGCCTCTATACAAATGATTTTCCCTGTCTTCAACTTCTAACTTCCTCATGGTTTTTGATGGTTTGAAATTTTTTTTCTTAATCCTCATTTAGAGATAAACTAATTCTGGCATACAGGTAGAAGAAATACTAAATGTCAAGATGACTTGTGAAATGTCTACTGTCAGCTTCTTATGACATAAACCTTTGCCCTTTGTAGGCTTATTAGTGCCATAGATACCATTTCTGAAGATCTCAGGAGGAATACTATCATACAAATGCAAACTTTTTATTGCATGTAATCTAATCTTCAGATATATCGTAAAGTATGACGTTATCATAAGAATCTTAATAATCTTTGGATTATTCAGCCTTTAACAGGGAATCAAAGTTCCAACATACTTTTTTGTGCTCTGTTCTTGTGGGGGGAGGATGGTAAGCTGAACAGTTTTTGCAGGGAATTTGGGAAACAAGTGAAATGAGATTCCATGTTCCTACTTCTCTGTTCTTCATCTTGATGAATGATAGTAACACCCACCCAGGTGCCTCAAACCTGAAACTAGGGAGATCCTTGATTCTTCCCTCTCCCCTTTCCTATTGATTCACCATCCTTCTTCTCGAATCCATTCCCTAATTCCCTTAATTCCACAGTCATAGTTTGAGCCACATCTTCTCTCTGCCCATTTCTTTCACTCTTCCTCCCCCCCAATTGGGGAAGCCCAGTCTAACTCCTGTTCCTCGTTTAAAAATCGTGCCCCTTTGAGAAGCCTCTCTTGACTTGCATGTGTGACACTATTGTCTGCTTCCATAGAAGTTCTATCATTGCATTTATTGCACTGAATTGCATTAAAACTTTAAAAAGTTCCTTTGGATAGGGACAGTATCTTATTATCCACTATTTTATATCTGAAACTAGCACAGTCTGCCACATAACAAGTACTCAAATAAGTGTTGAATTAATGACCACCTAGAATAGATTTAATTTTATATGTGATTGTGTATTACTACTTTGGGTATCTTCCCTATTAACCATTGATTATTATGTTGATTGTTTGTTTAAATAACTTTGTAAATATGTAATTGATTAGTTTATGCCTGTGTGTCCTATCATTGTGCTAAATTCTGTTACAGCACTGGTTTTCAATTTTAAGTATGCATCAAGTTACCTGGAGCGTTTGCTAAAAGAGAGAAGCTACCACCAGTTTCTAAGATCTGGGGTGGGGCCAAAGAATTTTTATTTCTAATGAGTTCCCAGATGATACTGATGCTGCTGGTCCAGGGACCATACTTTGAGAACCACTAAATAAGGGTCTTAGCCCTGGCCGGCATTGCTCAGTGGTTAGAGCATCAACTTGTGCAATAAAGGGTCATGGGTTTGATTCCCAGTCAAGGGCACAGACCTGGGTTGCAGGTTGGATCCCTAGCCCTGGTTGGGGCACATGTGGGAGGCAACCAATTGATGTGTCTCTCTCACACTGATGTTTCTCTCTCTGTTTCTCTTCCCCTCCATTCCACTCTCTCTAAAAATATCCTTGAGTGAGGATTAACAATAAATAAATAAATAAATAAATAAATAAATAAATAAATAAATAAATAAAAAGGGTCTTAGTTCTTAAACCAAGCTGTACATTGGAATTGCCCAAAGAAACTTTAAACATTACTGATTCCTGGGATCTACCCGAGAATGGTTAAATCAGAATCCATGAGGGGTGGGGACCAAGAAT